TATTAATAATCCTTGCATTTCATACAGTACCTCATACCCATCTTGTCAAAACATCTAAATGTGCTTCACAGGATTTACTATAAATGCAGTGACAGAATTTGCTATGTCATCAGTGTCCCACAAACAGCTATGAAGTGAATGATCAATTTTATCTGAGGGATTGGTAGCCAAGACACTAGGAGAAACAGCCTTTTCTTTTTCAATCAATATCATGGTATCTTTACCGTACACCTGAATAGGCCGATGGTGCCTCCTTTTAACGTGTCATTGTTGGAGGTATCATTGGATTTAATGTAGCACTCCCTAAGAGTACAATCATTAGACAAGCTCAAAATCCCCGAGTGGGATGGTGGGGCTTGAACCTACAACCTTTTGACTCAGGGACAAAAGTGTGCTAGCAATTGTCCTACAGTGATAGCTGAATTTTTATTGAGATTCTGAAAGCAGAAGTCAGGTGTAACTGCGCCAATACCTCATTCTCTCTATAGGGACGTCCAGGATCAAGCATGTTTGGAAAAAGAAAGGCGAAGATAATTGGAATGATATTATAGGGAATACTACAATAATCTCCAGCTATTGTTACAAGCCCTTTCCACCTTAAAGAAACGGCCTACATAAAATTATGACGAATTGTATTACTGTGTACAGTATATTGAACCCGATCTCCTGTGTCAGATACTTAGTTCCCTGTGTCAATCCTTCCTTCCTGCCCCCTATTTGCCCTTCTTCATATCACAGCTGACAACTTTCCTCTTCGACTGTTTTCTTTCGGTCACTTCCCCTCTCTTTCTAGCTTGGTGTCAAACCACACTGCTGCTAAGAGCTCCGAGACATTACTCACTTGAAGGGTGAATACAAGGTTAATCAGAAGTCCTCACAAATAGATGATTTTAATTATTAAATATGTTCTTTTAGGATAACATTCATAGAGTGTGCAGCTATGACAGGAGATGTCTTTCATTGCATTCGTGAAAGTTTATGAGTTGATCTGTGTAAACGTCTACATGACTCAGGACTTTTGATTCACCCTGCAAGTCGTTTTTGTTGATACCCACAACAGACTCTGGCTCTATTACCTTACTTGGCAGGACATTACATGTTTTGATGACTCTGTCTGAGAAAAAAATCTTCTAAACTCTCCTTTTGCTCTTCTTATTGTGTCTCTGCCTCAGATCGCTGATTTCCCTGTGTGGAAATAGTTTCTCCTTATTCCCCCTGTCAAAACCCCTCAAAATGTTGTGCTAATGCAGGTCCCTTCTCAATCTTTCCTGTTGCAATGAAAATGGACCCAACTTCTCCAGTATCTCTTCATAACTGTAGCCTCTCATCCATGGTATCATCCCCATAAACAACAAATTACATTTGTATAGTGCCTTTCACGTCAGGATGACATTCTTCCTGAAGTGAGGTGCCCAAAACTGAACACAGTACTCCAAATGTGGCCTAACCAATGATTTGGCCAAACTTGGCATTATTCCTTACTTTTATACTCTATAGCTTATAAGCCTATATATAAAATCCAGAATACTATTAGCTTTTTTCATGGCTCTTTCCACTTGTTCTGACACGTTCAAGGATTTATGTAGCTGCCCTTGCAAAACCATTTGGTCCTCCATTCTTCTCTACGTAACAGGCATAATCCCTTCCAGTCCACGACTGTTTGTGGGACATTGTTGAGGTGACTGAGAAGGGGGGAAATATTGATATTATGAAATATTAGAATTAGTGGGAATAACCTCACACTCCATTGCATGAATAATCCATTCATAAAATGAGATGCATATCCCACTGTTCTCCAATGTGTTTGGAAAGCAATAGCCTGTCTTTTTTTAAAGCTGTGAATGAACGTAAAGAATGTACTGTACTGAACAGTATGCTTTTGTACAAATAGATATATTATATTTGTACACTATATTTTTATTAACTTGATCTGCCAGTAGGATTCAAATACAAACTGAGAGAAAACAATATATAACATACAATGTATTTTACTGTTTAATAAATAAATATTACACAAGAAGGTAATTGGATAAAAGGTTAATTTCAAAGCTACAGCGAGTTGACTTAGACTGAATAAAGATTGATTTTATTTGTTTAAATTTATTTCATGGCCTCCCTGTCCTGAAAAATAAAGCATAGTAAAAAAAAAGTACTGTTATATGGATTTACCCCAACAGTAGATGTTGCCTGCTTAAACCAAAAAAACTGCAATATTGTGTTGGAACCCAACTGAAGATCGATTTGTAAATAAAACAGTTCATTAGAATATGAATGCTTAAAAAGCAACGGAGTGCAGACAATGCTGAAGGTTGGCACGTAGGAACCCAAATTCCCAGGATAAGTGGAATGTAATTTCAACGCCTTGAGACGTCCTCCTGACGTGAAAGGCGCCATACAATTGTAATTATGTTGTTGTTGATTTCCAGAAACAGGATTTGAATGAATGGTTTCTAGTCACCTTACAAAGTGAATCTTCTATTCAGTGTTACATGTGGTCGAGCAGTCAGTGCAAAAGATAGATTTCTTGTGGATGAAGGGATTAAGGTATACGGGGATAAGGCGGGTAGGTGGAGTTAGAATAGATCAGCCATGATCTTATTGAATGGCGGGGAAGGCTCGAGGGGCCGAATGGCCTACTCCTGCTCCTAATTCTTATGTTCTTATGTTCTAACCCATGAGGGGCTAATTGTCCTCCTGCTAAAGGATTTGAAGACAAGGGTCAATATTTTCTATTCTATTACAGAATGACATCTCCAACAATTACATATATCAGGCTTATTTAATGAACAAAATTCAATACATATTTTGTGGTTATAGAATGAACATTTTGTGGTTATGGAATGAACGTTTTTCAGTTGGTTTACCCCATTAGTTGCAAAAACAAACCCTGCATCCATCCATAGTGTATTTGATCAATAATATTCCTAATAATCTTTGCTTTCGATATAGCACCTTATCATGTCTTCAAGACATCTCAAAGCGCTTCACAGAATATACTGTAAAGTGAACTGACTGCATATTTTGTGGGCGAATAAATAAAATAGTAAAGTTGCAGTTTTTAAAACTTCAAGTAAAAAGAATACCAAATACCAAATTTAATCATGTTAATTGATTAAACCTGATATATGCAGCAATTTATATGCTGTTGCATTAACTTGTTTTAACAGGTTTAACAGGTTTATGCAGCGATGTCCAGTTTATGAGATTGACGTTTAATATGTATTGAATTATTATGCCCCTTGATGCATCACACGGGATAAAAATGAGTTAAGGTTGGGCGTTATGCATTAAGCTTTTAAGGAATCACTGATTCCTCGTCTTGTTTTTGTTTACATTTCACCTGTTTTCCCTTTTGTGTTCCTTCATTAAGATAACTAACCTGGTTCAATATTTCCAGGTCAAAACAACCAGAGCAGATAGAAGGACTATTCTCCTTCTCCCTCCCTCCTGTCCACCCGACTCAATTCCCCCAACCCCCCGAATAGAAACCGATAATAATAATCCTTGCATTTGATATAGCGCCTTAACACGCCTTCGAGACGTCTCAAAGCGCTTCGCAGAATATACCGTACAAGTAGATTTGGTGGGCGAAACGATTAACCGGGTGAAATGATTAATAATGTGTGGGGGTGTGTGGGTGTGGGTGTGTTTGGGTGGGGAGAAGAAGAGAGAGGGAGAGAGAGAGAGGGAGGGAGAGAGAGAAAGATCTTCTCACTTTCCTTTACAGGTTTCTGAGTGAACCTGTGCTCTGTGCTGTGTGAGAGCTTTTCGAAATCGCGAAACCTGAGGAGCCTCGGTGAGGGGGGGGTGGAGGGGAGGGGAGGGGGGAGGGAGGGAGGGAGGGGATGGGGGAGGAGAGATGGCAGTGGTGATGGTGATGTGTGTGTGTGTTGGTGGAGTCTGTGGCTTCCCGTAGTACAGTGTGTTTGTGTGAAGAAGAGCAGTTGGATCACTTTATTGTCATCTGTCAGCAGCTGAGATCAAGGCAGAGGCGGTGGCACAGTGTTGGCTGTGAGCAGCTCTGCTCCCCCACAGCCCACATCAGCCCACATCAGCCCGGCCCGGCTCCCCCCCCCCCCACCCAGCCCAGCCCAGCCCCCCCCCACCCAGCCCAGCCCGGCCCGGCTCCCCCCAGCCCAGCCCGGCTCCCCCCCCCCCCCACCCAGCCCAGCCCAGCCCAGCCCGGCCCGGCTCCCCCCCAGCCCAGCCCGGCTCCCCCCCCCCCACCCAGCCCAGCCCAGCCCGCCCCCCCCCCCCCCCCCCCCACCCAGCCCAGCCCAGCCCGGCTCCCCCCAGCCCAGCCCGGCTCCCACCAGCCCAGCTCGGCTCCCCCCCCCAGCCCAGCCCGGCCCGACTCTCCCCCCCCCAGCCCTGCCCAGCCCAGCCCGGCTCCCACCAGCCCGGCTCCCCCCCCCAGCCCAGCCCGGCTCCCCCCCAGCCCAGCCCAGCCCAGCCCGGCTCCCCCCCCCCAGCCCAGCCCGGCTCCCCCCCCCAGCCCAGCCCAGCCCAGCCCGGCTCCCCCCCCCCACAGCCCAGCCCGGCTCCCCCCCCCAGCCCAGCCCAGCCCAGCCCGGCTCCCCCCCCCCCCAGCCCAGCCCGGCTCCCCCCCCAGCCCAGCCCGGCTCCCCACCCCAGCCCAGCCCAGCCCGGCTCCCCCCCCCACAGCCCAGCCCGGCTCCCCCCCCCCAGCCCAGCCCGGCTCCCCCCCCCCCAGCCCGCCCAGCCCGGCCCGGCTCCCCCCCCCCAGCTCGGCTCGGCTCGGCTCCCACCTGCAGCACACACAGGGGACTATGACCTTGAGCAGCCGCAGCTGAGAGCTGGTTGGCTTTTCCATTTATTTATTCGCCGATCTGTGTCTTTTTTTCCCCCACAGTAATATTGTTTTTGAGGGGGAGGGAGGGGGGGGGGGGGGGAGAGGGGGCGTGAGTGAGGAGTGAGTAGTGCGTGTACGTGTGTGTGTGTGTGTTGGTGCAAAAAAAGAGAAGAGAGAGAGAGAGAGAGGAGAGGAGAGAGAAAGAGAAAGAGAAGAAGGGGGAAAAGAAACATTTCTGTCTCTGTTGACACTTCATGGGGATGTGTTCGCGGCAGGAGCGGATACAGGCAGACATAGAACACGTCCTACAGAGGTGCAAAGCGGACAAGGACTGCCTGTTTTCCGGTGAGATGAAATATATCTCTCTATCTATCTATCTATCTCTGTGATTATTATCGTTACAAAATATAGGCATCTGTCGATTTTCCACTGTTATGCACATGGACAGAGGGGGAGAGAGGAGGGAGAGAGAGGGAGAGAAACACACGCAAAGCCATTGTTTTCTTCCCATCCCTTTTCTCTACACACAGACACAGACACCAGACACACACACACACACGGGAAATCCACCCTCAATTGTGCTCGATTCCTTCCACCCCAGTCTTTTTTATGCACACACACACACACACATATATATACACACATATATATATATATTTTTTTTACAGTGCGATCGTGTAAACACTGTGCTGTTTTAATGCCATCGGGGTTGCTGGAGCTCGATGGAAAGGTGAAATGCAATTGTCTATCCAGTATTTAGCATTGCATTTAGATTTCAGTCATTTCCCCTCTCCATCCCCATCATCGCCTCTCGCCCCTGACACATTGTACCTTTTGTTGTCGCGAAGGAAACACTTGTTGCGAAGAACGGATAACGATTCCCCCCCACCACCAGCTCCCTAACCTGCTCTCTCTGCCTCCCCCCCTCTCCCTCTCTATCCTTGGGTTTATTTCAAATGCAATTTGATGGTTTGGCTGTTAACGTGTCTATCTGCTTAATCCAGTTTGTCGGATCCTTCCAGGCGGTTTGCAATTCAAGAAATTCCTGCAATTATTACTGTTGTTTTGTTTTTGGTTTTGGTTTAGATTTCAGATACACGGATTCCACCTTTACATTCACATACACAAGAGGATCAAAGAGGTAGGGTTGTGTTTTATTTCTTCTTTCTCTTCCTGCACCCACCCAAAAAAAAAGTTTGTGGTCGTTTGTGTGTGTGTGTGTGGGGGGGGGGGGGGGGATGTTGTGTTGATGCCTACTATTTCCTGAGCAAAGAGAGAAGTGACTGATGGTCAGGTTTGTAAACACAATCCCATCATTTAGATCAAATGTGATCTGCTTTGGCTAAACACCAGACAGTCCAAGGTTTGGAAAATTCATACATCACGTTACTGAATTCGTATGTTATTTTCTTTTAGGTTTTTTTTTGGTTAGGGTTCATTGCACTTAATCGCATTATTTTCCACCTGATCAGGAATTTGCTAACATTTTTAAAAAAATGTAATTTTTGACTATAATTGTGGTCTGATGGAACAAACATTAGAAGCACACCCTTGGTGCAATTCGCTGTATTATGTAACACATATAGGAAAACACAAAAAAACACACAAAAAATGCTATTTATGTGGATTTGCAATACACATATATACAGACATACACCCAGGCACTGTGTCCCTTTCTGCAGCACACATAGATGGTACATACAGTAACATACTTTCCCACCACATTGCTGGGGGAGCAGAACATTTGGAAGCTCTGGTCACAAAGATAATAACGATAAAGCACCTAAACGAAGCGCTGGGCTGTGAGAGGTGGGTTTGTATGTGTTTACTACCACCGATTCTAACAAGCGCTAAAATAACAAATGAAACGCTGCAGATTCTTCGCGAAGTAATCCTTATTTGGAAGCAAAAAAAAAACACACAAAGTTCTGGTTCATTTGTAAGCCGAATGCAATCCCAGTTGGCCTGAGCCGCAGTTGTCCTTTGGTTATTACGTCTGGAAAGGCATTTTGCATTGATATTTGGACGTGTTGGAGCTTTGCAGGTTAACGTGGGGGCCCCTTGTTGTTGACTGAATTCGCCCTGCGTTACTGTCTGGGGCTTTTGTTTGAGACCAGGGGGAATTTGAGCTGATGTTATGTTTTGCATGGCTTGGGATCGGTTCTTTCTTTCTGCCTTGTTGCAATAGGAGATAGTGGAAGTGATCTTGCTGTGTGTGTGTGTGTGTGTGTGTGTGTGGAGGGTTGGGGGAGGCGGTGCATACACTCAAGCAGAATTATAAAGCCGGAAGGGTTTTGAAACATCCGCCTGCTTTTATGTGCCCATTGGTTTTGGGTTTCCGAGCACTGTGCTCAGCAGTTTGCTCAACGCGATGTGCTGCAAAACAAGTCTCCGGCTCAATCCACTGTGATCCACTCAGTCGCTTTTAAAAGTGAGGTTAGGATGGTTGTTGACATAAATCATGTGTCTGAACTCCCCTTCGCTGACTATCTTCATTCTGCACTTTTTAACTTGCCACTGTCTCGAAGTGTACGGAAGAGACGCGTCTCCTGCAGCGTAGTGGTTGGAGCACTCGCCACGCAAGCGAGAGGACCTGGCTTCGATTCACGGGCAGCGCATAAACCTTAGGCAAATTTCCTTACTCCACATCCCTCTGTTTACCTGGCGCTAAGTAGGAATCCGGTTGTTAGTCGATTGGTGGATCGCTTTGCGGGGGTAATAATCCTGTCAAAAAAAATAATAATAATTTGGTGTCTCAGTCGACGGCTGTTTGTGGGACACTGCTGTGCGCAATTGGCTGCCGTGTTTCGCCCATGAAATATAGAGTCAATTTACTTTACAGTATATTCTGTGAAGTGCTTTGAGACATCTCGAAGATGTGATAAGGTGCTATATCAAATGCAAGGATTATTATTATTTAGACCAGTGGTGATTTGGGTTGGCCAGCAAAATAATCATAGAAGTAACATGATAGCATAGATTTATGCCATAAATCAAGAAATATTCAATCAAAGAAACATTTGTTTTGGCCAAAGAGGTTGGCAACCACTGATCTGGACTATAACTAAATGAAGGTGCTGGAGACTGAATGAACATTGCTTCATCAATTTGGTCACTCAATCCACGACTGTTTGTGGGACACTGCTGTGTGCAATTGGCTGCCGTGTTTTGTCCACAAAATATACAGTGAATCTACTTACAGTATATTCTGTGAAGCGATTTGAGACATCTCAATGACGTGAGAAGATGCTATATCAAATGCAAGGATTATTCTTATTATCTTGTGTCTGATTACAGCTGGCTGCCAAAATGCCCGTATTATGCACACCATGGCCTGTGAACGCAAAGGACGTGCACTGTTCCTTACACAGTCCTGGTAAATGGATGTGCATTTCTTATCATCTCTATTTTGTGCATAAAGTTTATTTCAGCATAACAACAGAAACATTTTTCACTCAACCCAGGAATTTTATTTTGATTACATTCCTCTTGTTTTATGAGGCTGTGTATCATGGGCTCTGTTTGAGAGCAATAAGCTGCCACAAAACACCTTCAAGCTTTAATGGTAATGATAATAATCATCATTCTTACATATCCTTTCATGTTGGGCGGATTCTCAAAGTGCTTCACAAGATTTACTGTAAAGTGTAGTCAATCTGTATTTTGTAGGGAAACACTGTAGCCAATTTGCATAGTGCGACATCCAGCACTGCATTGAAGTTTCAGCCGACACAATAACACATTCAAATCCCTATGTGGGGCTTGAACCCACTAACCTTAATAATCCTTGCATTTGATATAGCGCTTTTCACGTCAGGATCAGAGGTGGGAGTGCTACCAACTAAGCCAGGCTGACACAGGCCAGGCCTTCCCTCAACACCAACAGGGCCAGACAGTTCAGTATGCTGAAGTGGGACACAGGATGGAATGAATCCTTGTTAATTTTCCCTACTTTTTATCAACAACTCAGTGAGCTGCCTAGTATTAGCATTGAGGAACTGGGGGCAGCGAAGGGGAGAAGGAAAGAGCCTGCAGGTCTGGCTAGTTTTAAAACCATCTCTCAGCCTATGGCACACTGCACTAATCCAGTGATGATCACTTTGCTCAAGCACATGTACGACAAGCGTTTTGCGGTAGGATTTTTAGATTCTGAATAATAAACAGAAAAAATTATACTAATCCTTGTATTTGATCTAGCGGCTTTACCATCAAAATGTCTCAATTACTCAGTTACAAGCAATTACTGTCAAATGTAGTGACTGTAGAACGGCAACTACTTGCATTTATATAGTGCCTTTCATCTGGATAGTGTCTCAGAGCGCTAACAGCAAAGTGGTTTGATGGTGAGCTGGAAAAGGAGGGCAAGTGATTGAAAACACAGTCGAAGAGGAAATCTTCAGGTGTTATATTTGAAGACATTGGTGGAGCGGAGGGTATGAGGGACGTGCAGAGGACCTGAGCCGGCTGAGCGAAGGCAGCAGGTAGTGGAATGGAGTGTGAGCAGATCAGACAGTTAGGGAGATGCCAGGCATGAAGTGATTTGAAAGTGAGAGTGAGGATTTTGAAAGCGCTTTGTTCTGCAACAGGGAGCCAGTGGAACCTGCCAAGAACTGGAGTGATGGGGGTACAGAGCCTGGTACCTGTGAGGATACACGTGGCTGAGTTTTATATCATTTGGACCTTGTTTATAGTGGTGCTGGGAAGACCGGCAAGGAGTGCATTGGGATAATCAAGGTGGGAGGTGTTGAAAGCGTGAGGGATGACAATAAACAAATTATGGGCTTAAAGCACTACCTTCTTAACTGCAGGTGCAAACTATAAACTGCTCTTGCTTAAACTGTTCAGCATTTACTTTGTTCTGTAGTTCCCTTACTAATAATACAAAATCACTACACTTTACATTAAATCCTGTGAAGAGCTTTGAGATGTCTTCACAATGTGAAAGCACCTAATAAATGTAGAATAAGTTTAAACAAATATTTTTTGACTGGAATTCCAACCAAAATGGAAAGTAGAGATTTAAGCACAAGTTTGAAACTGAATGAAATTCTTCTCAGTCTATTTTGGCAGTCATTTCTCTCCAATGCATGTTCAAACAATGGTAGGAAAAGTTGTTATTATACAGGAGACTGACATTCTGGTGAAATATCCCAATGTCACAGAGTCCCAATGGACTTTAGTATTGAATAAGCCATCCAAATTAATACTATTCAGTAAAAGTTGGATTCAGTGGTTCCAAATGTGTTTGTGTGCCTCACAGCATGAAACTGCTCCTAATTTAGTAACTGAATTGATTGTATCTCAGTAAGGGTAGTGGGTGGTCTGAGCAGGAAATGGAAATGACATGCTCAGGGGCTGACCAGAACCTTTCAAGGACTCTTGGAAAAAAATAAAATCTGGGGTCAGATGGAAAGGGGGAGAGGTGAGCTGACGAAAGCTGGAGAGCAGGAACCCTGGAGTAGCCTTGAATGGTGAGCAAAAGTGGGCTTGAATGGTGCCTGGGAGGGGCACCTGTGTCAAGTGTGTGAGAGAGCTGGGTGGGTTTTCGTGGGAACCAGGGAAGATGAGTCTGAGAGGGGGAAAGCCACAATAAAATAACTTGAACTCACCTGGCCCGTCTGATTGACTCTCTCTGTGGGTGTCAGTCAATTGTACATAGGCTCTGCACCCCCTGTCTGCGCATCGGCTAGGCTGCAGCCTCAAGTGACTGAACGTTTGCTTGAGAAATGGCCTGGAGAGAAAGTAACACAGAGAGCAACTGCAAAGCAAACTGTCTTCTCCAAATATGTTCAGTGTTGTGAGGTTGTACCCATTGCTTGAACCCAGAGGTATTCCACTAAGGCTGTGATATAGCATATTATTGACGCAGAAGATTACAGGAGGCTTTAGTTTACCTCTGGCCTGTCAGCCCAAATTTCTATGCAACAAAAAAAAATTTATGGAGGGAGAATTGTAGTTTTACATGCAAAGTTGGCGTAAGGTTTCATGGAGTGCTCAGTTAATGGGAAATTAAGTTGTCCTGACAAAAAAAGGCTTATTTGCTGATTGTTTCAGAAAACCTAAAGTGTATTGGAACCTGTCAGCAGGTGTGTTTGTATCTCAGCTCACAAACTGTCCAGGCAGCCAACAGACACCATGCTATCCATTGGCTGCCAGCCAATTTCGCACAGGCCATACGTATTCATGTTTATCACTGTCTGCATGTTTTTTTCTGCGGGGAAAAGGAAACTGCATAACACCACGAGTTTTGTTTCCTGATTTACTGTTGTAATGGCTCTGTCTTTAGATACCTTTTGACTTGGTATAGCCTTGAGTCACATGAACCTTAACCGCTTTCTAAACACTATTGATATGAAGACTTTGAGATGTCACATCTAATTACGTTTCCCCATGTATAGGAGAAACCTGTCATGCTGCACCCCTCCACCCCCGCAGTGTAGGATTGGCTTGCTTATAGTGCAGTTTTGAATTACAGTGGATCTGGGCTAACCGGAAGTGTATACCAGGCTTCGGGTGTTGACCAGACACTTTCCTACAGCAACAAATGTCCGACTTGTGAATCATCAGGTCACTGCTGGTGTTACTTATTGCATCTTGCATGCAGCTAGGAAGTGATGTTAATGGTGCTTCCTCCAATAGAGCACAAACTCAACACGAGCAGCTTCATCACTATCACTGACCCTACAACCTGAGAGTTGGACATTTTTTCACACCTCACTTATGGACATTAAGCCCAGCCATCTGTATATTGGGGTTATAATGTATTATATAATGAAATTTTCTTCACCTCATGATTTTCAATATTGTACCAGTAGTTACTGAGATTAACCAAGCCTGCAAAGTTAACCAAGCCACCAGAATTTTCCTTACAAGATATCAAGTGCCCCGCAGTACTAGACTGAAGAAGACACATGTATTATGACTAAGGCCACTTGGGATTACCCACGCAAGATAAATTGGTGCATTTCACTGCTGCAGAATGATCCCTAATGCTTTAAATTCAAAATTGTCCTTATGTCTCTCTGAAAATAATTGAAGAGAACCTACTGATTATGTGTATACTGGATATGTCGAGGGATGCACCAGAAAACTATTGTACAATTGAATATAGTGTTGCCTGTCAATGATACCACTCTCTGCACCTCCACAAGAGGTACTGTGTGGTGAGGATATGTTGGAGTTGAGGCTGGATCTCTTACCTAATTTTGAGGCCGAGATATTTGAAGTGCAGGAAATGATATGGGTGACCTTGGTGACCCTCTGTTGGAGCGACCATTACTACCCATTGAGGAGGGCAACAGGATAGTACCTGAGATCATTGACATTGCAGGTGAAGAGCAGCTACTGAGCAGCTACTTGATCCTCCAGGTCTCAATGTGGAAAGAAGGACATGGATATCGCAAAAAAATCTGACATATTAATGTGCAGTACCAAGCTTCTCACCTACTTGTTATCCTTCCCTTTAGCAGCTACCTGTACATGAATTAGTGAATATGACCCACATAAACATAATGATGGAAAGTCCACAAGATGTGCAGAGCGTAGAAATTTGGGACACAGTGGAATGGAACATATACAACATCAAGGCCTAGATGAGCCAAAATTTCCTTGAACTGAACGTGGACAAGATGGTACCCATCTTCTTCTCCTTTACTGACATGACCTCTTCAACTCCTCGGCTTCTGTCTCAAACTCACTGAACCAGTGCACAATTTTGGTATCCAGTTCGATCCTCAGCTCTTCTCTCCTCTGACCTGGACTGCTTCTCTTCACCTCCACCATATATTCACCATTGTTGTACTGCTGTGAGCATAAGGACGGCTCAATTTTAAGGCATCCGTTATTTCAAAGTGCCACCATTATGAAATTCCTAGGCTTAAAACGTCACATTAGGGCACATAATGGATGGTTACAGAGGCTTTAGCAGCTCCGTGCTAATTGATTGAAATCAAATGTTTCGGTTTGTCGAATGTTGTTCATATTGAATGAAAATCACTGACACAAAAACAGGGTCCAAATGGCTTCCAACTGTGTTGTACATTTCTGTGGTACTTTGGATGTTCAATGGTGTGAAAATAATCAACATGTTACTCTTAACACCATTTACTCAAGGTTGGAGGATTTTAACCCCTGAGGCATCCCTCACCTGGGAATGCTTCATATAAGCAATTCATACAGATAACAGATGATAATCTAAAATGAAAAGTTGGACAACCCATTACCAGATGTGCACGGAATGCACCCTAGGTAAAACCAAGTTAATTTTTTTTAGAAAAATGCAAACTTAAAACAAGAAGTAATTAAACTTTGTAAATTCTACAGTTTTTTGCACAGGAGACCACAGATTGCATTCGTGCAATTTATTGCAGAAATAAAGCAAGTACTGAGTTCTTCATTTTATTGCAAACTTTAGGGCCAAACTTCCAACACTTTCAGACGGACTGAAAAAGTTTTTGTTCCAATGCGCACCTTGCTATGTAACCTCAAGTGACATAAGGGTGTTGAACGATATAGAAAAAGGTGGGGAAAAGGGATTGCCAGATTTATCATGATTGACTGACTGAATAGCCTCCTCTTATTCCTTATGAGGATTAATTTTAAATAGATTTAGTTAATGATATATGTAGTTAATTTGTGCATTGGAGGGGTGAACTAACATGAACAGGATTTCAGTTTAAAACAGCCAAGAATTTGAAAGTGCAACGGTAATTGTTTAACATTATGTCTTTGTGTTGGCATGATAGAAAAAAGCTTTCTTCTAGGTGGAGAAATCAAGCTGTGTTTTGTATTGTAGTGACCACATGTATCGTAACCCTTGAATAAGTGCTTGTACGTTATCCAGTAGAAGCGAGTTGTGCTCTGTGCTTCAGTTAAAGCCACTCTTCCTGTCACGTGAGAAGACCACACTTTCTTAGTTTCCAACAAATACCTTTGGTGAAGCCTCTTCCTGTTTCATGTTGTAAAGCAATGTGGCAATACCTGAGAGTTATAGTCGTTACAATTGGGTGGTGTGGGGGGGATGGGGGAGAAAAGATGACTGAGTTAACAGACAATGGGATAAATAGTTATTGCATAGAATATACCCAGGTGCAGCCCATCCCCAATCCCATCCCCAGTGTCAAACTCTATGGAACTCTCAAAGAACCAGACATTTAAAACATGGTATTGTGTCCATGCCAGCTCTTTGAAGGAGCAACACATTCAGTCCCGTTTACCTACCTTTCCCCCATATCCCTGCAAGTTAATGCTTTTAAGATATCTATCTAGTTTACTCTTGTAAACTACTATATATTCAATCTCCACAACAACAACTTGCATTTATATAGCGCCCTTCATGTGGGGTAGCATCCCGGAGCACTCCACCACTGCATCCAGCAAGGCATTCCACATCCTAACTAACCTCTGAGTAAGAAATCTTCTCCTAATTTCCACCTTTTGTTTCATTGTTAATTATCATAAATGAATGTCCTTTCACAATTTTTAAAGAGCTCCATTGGGTCACACTCTTCCACCTTTTCTGCACAGTGAAAATAGGCTCAGTTCCCCTAGTTTCTGCTCATAGGTCAAACCAATCATCCCTGGCATCATGCCAATGAATCTTCTCTGCCCCTCTCTATGGCTTGTCCTTCCTAAGTGACGGACTTAGTCTTCTCCTATTCCTTATGAGGATTAATTATAAATACGTTAACAATTTGGGGTTATCAAAATGGGACACATTATTCTAACTGGATGCGGTATTCTAAATTCTAATATTTTAACTAACGATTTATACAAGTTATGCATCTTCTCTTCAGTTTCATATTCCAAATATTTACAATAGCTCGGATTCCATTAGCTTTTTTCACAGCTTTGTCCATCTGCCTTCCATCCTTTAAAGATTTATTTATGTCAGCCACTAGGTCTCACTACTCTTATACTCTTTTTATATTGCTACCATTTAGCATGTGCTTGCTATCCTGACTCTTCCACCCAGATTGGATGTCCTCACATTTATTTGCATTAAATTTCATCTGTACTTCTTTGCGCAATCTACTAGTCTGTCAATGCCCTCCTGGTACATTCCCTGTTTTCGTTTCTACCAACTGAGAAATTGTGCCACTTGAACCAGAATGCTGTCAAGCATTGGATTTCTGGTTTCCAAATCACAGATTTTAGCCACTGTTTAGCTCCTTTTTAAGTCCAATGTTGTGGGAATGATTTCACAGACTTCACCATTGTGAATGGAAGATCTGGGCACAGTCAAGGTGCTAAATATTGAATGTACCACTGAATTGACCCCAAAACGAACTCCCAACAGCCAAAGGGGAAAGAATATTGAAGGGTATGGGGAAATCTCAGGAGGTTAGCGTTAATAGCTTCAGTGGGGAGTTAGTGCCAACACACACAGCCAAACAGCCTCTCGTGCAGGGAATTTTAGATTCTAGAAAAAGGCAAATGTAAAAGTTTGGGAATGCAAAAGAAAAATAAGTTTATTAGTTTTTTTAATACAGAATGAAAATGGAACCAACGTATTGTGTACTATGGGAGTTTGGATGCTGTTTCAAGCTTCAGACCATATAAACTTTAGTCTTAGTCTTCTGGGAATTTATCAAACTGCATCCCCAGTGAGTCTGATACAGTCATGAGATGCACTCACAGATGGATAATATTCCATATGAAATGCAATTTATGTGCTTAGTGTACCTTTTCTCCTTTGTTTTCTATAAAATATGTTCTTATAATAGTCATTATGTTTGGTACAACTCCTCAAAGTGTGACAAAGCATTTCACGGGAGATTGAAATGTAGTGATTTGTAGGCAATCTGTTTGTATTTGAGGCAAATATAGCAGCCAATTTGCACACATCAAGGCCCCACAGACATTGGTAAAGCGAATGACATTTAAATTTGGAAGATTGATGGTAGTACACTGCAGGAAAATTCCTCTTTTTAAATATTATCATGGGATTATTAACATCCACGTTTTGCCCACAAAAATACAGTTTATTCACTTTACAGTATATTCTGTGAAGCGTTTTGAGACGTCTTGAAAACATGATAAAGCACTATATCAAATGCAAGGATTTTTATTATTATCCACAGGAAGACAGGACTTCAGTTTAATGTCTCATCTGATGGACGGTACCTGCGACAATGGAACGGTCCCCAGAGGTACAACAACAACAAATCACATTTGTACAGCGCCTTTCACATCAGAAGGATGTCCATGTAGTGGAGTATCAGCCTGGATAAGGAGCTCAAGCCTCTATGTGAGCCAGTAACTTAAAACCCTCTGATTCAGAAGCAAGAGTGCTAAGAACTGAGCAAAACTGACACAGGCATGTCACAACATGCAGATCAGTTTTTCTGTAGACTTTAGATCTCTGGCATCTACCTAGCTTTGCCCAGCAGCTGCAGGGACAGACATGTCTGCATTCGCTTGGATTAAAATCAAAGCTGTAGGCAGAGCTGTAATTCACCTTTAACAATCAATTATTAATGCCTATTCTCACACTATTGTTGCACCAATACCTGTAAATGATGGTGATGGCATGTTAGGAACTGGATTAAGAGACTGTTATCCAGTACAGAGGTTCATGGAAATCTCACAGCACTGAGGGTGTTTTGTAAATTCTAAAAGTTTTGCTGTGACGCAACTCGATGAAGATTTTGCCATTGAACTTAATAGGCGACTGCTTGGTAGTGAACTGAGTATAAGCAGTTGATATGAAGGAGGAACCTAATATTCTAAATCCTGGCAATACGCTTCTTGTCCTCAGTTTCATGGTTCACTGCAGCCAGAATCCATTAGTACCTGATCATACTTTCAGTGAGTAAATTTGCGAGTTTCCTCTGGCGGGTGGGTCGGTAACCAGAGGACACAGATTTATCATAATTGGCAAAAGAACCAGAAGGGAGACGAGGAGAAATTGTTTTACCCAGAAAACAGTTTTGATCTGGAATATACTGCCTGAAAGTGTGGTGAAAGCAGATTTGATAGTAGCTTTCAAAAGGGAATTGGATAGGTATTTTAAAAGGACACAATCGCAGGGCTATGAGGTAAGAGCAGGAGAGTTGGACTAGTTGGAAGCTCTTTCAAAGAGCTGGCACAGGAACGATGGATCGAATAGCCTCCTTCTGTGCCGTAAGATCCTATTATTCTATTAATTTAAATGTTCACCAGGCTCTTTGTAGCATCTGAGTATTCTGTCCCAAGGGCTCTGAGAGGAGCATCCTTTCGTTGACACCTTGGCATGTGCGGCAATGCTCTGGGACGGTTGTGCCTCATTCAAGTTCGAACGTACACTGTTTACTCAGTCAGAATGCTGTGCTTCCTGCCACTGTGATCAAACGGCAGTGTAAAATTCTTGGTGTTAGTTATGAAGCCTATCTGTCTTGGTGCAATTTTGTGACAAAACAGTCCTTTATTCCTAGTTTTGGTGTATTTATTGCAATGTGGGGGATAACAGTGTTTGGACACTAAATAAGGTTAAAATGACATTCCTAAACATATTCTGCTCATTGTTTAAGGAGCAGCACCAAAATACCCCTCTGTGACTTCTGAATAATCGTAACTCCCAAACCAGGTTGAGTAGCTCAGGGCATCGCCAGGTTGGATTGCAGCTTCATTCTCAAACTCCAAGAATGAGTATCAGCCCTTCTGAGTTGATTCAAGGCAGACTGGCCTAATTCAATATCAGTTAGTGCTGCATCTCATGAATAATAATATAATGATGATCCTTGCATTTCATACAGTGCTTTTCACATTGGGAGGACGTCTCAAAGCGCTTCACAAGATCCACTGTAAAGTGTAGCGACAGTGTATTTTGTAGACGAACAAACCCAGAATGGCTGTTTTCTGTGTTCACAAACAGTAACCACGAGGGAAATATTGAGGCCCAACTGGATGACTAAACACTTTGAGTTCCTTATTCAGTAGTTTTTTTTTAACAAATTGCTGAAAACCAGCTTGCAAATTAATTCTTAAGTCTATGACTCATCCAAATTTTGCAGTCTTCAATTTTGAGGTAATGGTCTTAAGCCTAAGATTGTGACACAGTGGTCACAGTGAGGCCTATCCCCAAGTCTGGCCTGGTCACAGTGAGGCCTATTATCATCAATGGCCCATTCTCAGTGAGGCCTGAAGTTTTATGTTCTCTGGAACTTAAGTTTTCGGTTGCGCATCCACGATTGTACAGTGCTTTGGGATGTCCTCCTGATGCTATACAAATGTAATTTGTTGTTGTTGTTGAACAGAACTTGCAGAACACAATTTATTCCCAACACACCTTCAAGTGGATCTCAGCAATTAAGAGGAAACAACCAGTAAGACAAACACAATTCTGATGTGTCTTTGAGGGCTGATGATGGGGTACTCAGTAACAATTGCAACTTGTCTGATCGCTTGTTTAGAATGGAAACTCCCATTCTAATGAACAAAAAGATTTGCAATTCTTTGTGATTAGCTATAATGTGCTGCAAGGCCCTGCTCACTGGGGATCCTCCGTTTTCGCTCAGAACGAGGAGACACATAGCCTTGGCTGGTCACTTTTGTAGTCAATAACTGTAGTGCGTGTTGCAGTATAACTGTGATATGATTGTGCTCAGATTAATATCCCCTCATGTTGTGGTTTATTAAGATCAGTAGGTTCTCTATGAGGTACATTCATGTTCACTAAGCAGTGGATTGCTTCAAGAAGATAGGCATCAGTTCCTACATTGTTATATCTGGCTGATCACACCTTTTCATAAGTAACCTGAAGTTATGACATTGTATAAGTTTGTTATCTTGATGTTGATAGCAAATAGAAATTGCATTGGTTGCCCAGTCAACATCACAAAGTGAAAATAGAGAGACTCTTTGACAAGGAATCATTAGTGGGAGCAGGGACTCTTTCCACTTAGCTCCTGTTTATCCTACAAGCCAAAGACACAATGGGTAGGGTTGCCTAGTTGGACAAGCAGCAAGTATGTGGCAAGACAGTTCTCTCAGTCGAGCTCTATGTGTGTTAGCTGGTTAAGGTGTTCCTCACCTTCAAAACCCTCACCTTCAAAACTCCATCCCGCAGTCCCTCCGCCTTGCCACCTCCCTTGCCACCTTCAAGACCCATCTGAAGATCCTCCTCTTCGACCATGCTTTTGATCTCCTTCCCCCCCTGCTCTTCCCCCACCCTGACCCCCAGCTCGGGTCCATAACTCTGTCTGTCCAGCGCCTTGGGACATGCTCCCAACATGAAAGGCGCTTTACAAATGTAATTTTGTTTTGTTGTTGTTAAGTTCCACCAATGCTCCAAACACACACTCCGGGGTCTCCAAACGATGTGTCTCTCTAACCTGGGTCTAATACTTCCTGGAGGAATACACACTAGGTAAGTAGAGTGTATTCCTTCAGGAAGTTTGTATTTCATTCCAGATACGGGAAAAATTCTGTGTGCAGGTCTCGTACATATGTGGAACTCTGGTTTCAATACTCTTAAGCTGGGGATGGGTTTCTGTGTGTATCAGCTACCTAGCTGACCAAAAAAACACAATGATTGAAAGTTTCATGGGGCTTGTTCAATATTCAAAACAGGAAATCAAAAACGTTAGGCATGTAATTTGCAGATTTCTGTGAGTGTAAATGAAGTGCTATATATACTATTGAACTATTTAGATCAACACACCTTTAGATATGATCACATACTGGAAAAGCTGATTCTAAAAATACATCTGAGATGAAATGACATGAATGTATTAATGTTAATGTATTAAAAAAATGTTTTGAATCTATTCAATGCTGCTTTTTACCTCTTCATGTATTTAAGAATAGTAGAATATTGTATTGATCAAACCTATGTTCTTCACCTTGTCTTGTGTCCATAAGACAGTATTCTCAAATTAATACAAGTGCATTTAAATTTGTTGCTGTGAAGGAGCTACATCCATCTACTCCCATCAAAAGCAACAACAACAACAACAAGATTCCATTTTTAGAGCGCCTTTCATGTCGGGAGGACTTCCCAAAGCGCTGGACAGTTGGGTCAGGACCCAAGCAGGGGGGAAATGGTGAGGGGAGGGAAGGGAGGGAGCGAGGAGTGGGTAGAGCGTCGAGAGGGGAGCTAAAGGCACGGACAAAGAGAAAGGTCTTGAGACCGGCCTTGAAGGAGGAAAGGGAGGAAGCAAGGCGAAGGCACTGGGGGATGGAGTTCCAGAGCCTAGGGGCTGAGAGGCTCAAGGCCCGGCCACCGATCTACTCCCATTAAGAGCAACACTTTTCAGTTTTCAAAGACGTTGCCTGATATTTCCCAAATATCAGAATTGTCTTTTTCTACAGGGCATCTCCTCTGAACTGTTCAAGGACGCTATATAAATTCAAAATGCAAGTTGTTGTTGTCATTGAGATCCCCTTGAAGATGTACTGGAAATTAATGGCGCCCTCGAACTGCTAGCTCAGTTCAAGAGAACGTAGGAGCTCAGAGATTGTGATACGCTCTGCTCCATTCATTTAGCGTATCAAATCTTTTGATGCTCACTTGTAGTGTGAAATCCCTTTATAAGCACACATCAAACCATTTGCTACAGTCAGGTAATAGAGCAGAAAAATCCCATTGTTTGAAAGCTTTCTTGACCCACAATTTTTGGTTAGGCTAAAAAAAAAACTTTTTTTTAAGAAAAACTGTCATTTTACCTTCACCTTTTCAAAACCATCTGAATTTGGTTGAAATTATATTAAAATAAAAAGGAATTATGCATGATTGTACTCCAGAAAATCTCATTCCGGTTACATATAATAATCCTTGCATTTGATATAGTGCCTTATCACATCATCAAACCATCTCAAATGGCTTCACAGGATGTGAAGTGACTGTGTCGCAGAACAACAGGGAACTGGAAGGTGTTTTTATGTCTCTCAGTAGTCAGATAGTCAGCTTGGACTGAGTAGCAAATGCTATTTGACTCACATAAATTGAATATTTATTTATATCTGAAAAACAAAACTCTGGAATCAAATATTTGGAAGATAAACACAAGGATTTTTCCAGACGTTTTTTCCACATACAGTACTGGATAAGTGGGATTTCAACAAATCCTTACTGATAATGTGCAGTAATGGGTCAGAGCAGTTTTGAGATGTCAAGACAGCACTGTTGGCTTCTGCACAGTTTGCTGGTACAAAATAGCTGAATATTATT